CCGACTTTTTAACGATTTGCTTTGCCCGTCAGCTGCGACAGGAGCGTATTTTCAGCCTGTGGTTTCTGTGCCTGCTGCACCAACGAGGTGGCGTTTGCAGGATTTTGATGCTTTTCACCCACTTTATGTCAGGAACAGAGCTCAGAAGCTGCTGCGAGCTGCGGCCCTTGCTTTTCACCCCTGCGGTCAGCCCCCTGCCCCCATACAGAAACGGGCAAGGACAGGCAGCACCCGAGCATCATCCTGGGAGCGCTGGGTAGTGGGGCATGGAAACTGGAACATCCCTCTCAGCATCCCACAGCTGCCTGTAAGAGTTCCGTTCAAAGGAAAAATCCCCCCAGCTTACCTTATTTAATTTTGATACGCAGAACCTGAGAAAGAAAAAAAAAAAAAAAAAAAAAGTTTTAAATGCAGGAAACTAAAATGTAACTGCCTAGAGAGCTCCCCTTAGGGTGTGCACCGTGTCCCAGCTACCCCAGGAGCACCTCTCCTCCCTGTTTATAACACTGTCCCTGTGGAAGAGCCTACACAGAAATTGGAAACGAGGCACAGAACACTGAAGGTGTGCTTCAGAGCAATGAACCTCAGCACAGGGGATAAACACCGTGGGAAGTTAACGAACACCTGAAAAACACAACCCCCCTGTCGGTAATGGGAATGGCTGACATTGGTTACTTTAGGACATATGTACAGGAGAAGAAGCAAGGTGAAAGTAAGGAGCAGCTCAAAGAGGTCATGGTTAAGAGCAGGATCTGTCTGCTCACACTTCTGCTCGCAGGTCTTTGCACTACACCAGAGCTGACATTACTGGGAGATTTATATCTATCTGAAGATGCTTTTTAACATACAGGCCAATGGTGAAGGTCCACTCACCTTTCTTCTTTAGGCAGCAGCAGCGTACCACAACCACAATAATAATAATCAGAAGAATAATACCAACAAGCGAAAGCACAACTGCAAGTACAATAACCCAGGTGCTTTTGTTGTCTTCACTGTACTCATTTTCTGTTAAATTAAATGAAGAAACATTGTTCTATCAGTGCCTCGTAACATCCTTTTCAGAATAGTTGCCTTTTGTGAGAAGCTATTAACTGCTCATTGATTATTTAACAAGGAGTCTGTGTTTTCCAAATGATGGACTCTATTTATGGATAGTGCCCAAGAATTTAAAATGTTTCCAAATGCAAATGCTTTATTGCAACTGTAACTTTTCCCACAGCTACTTCTCTTCTGAAAAAAAAAAAAAAAAAAAAAAACAAAAAAAAAAAAACAAAACCGCAAGGTGGCAAGCTTTCAACCTGAACTTTATTTTGTAAGATATGCTGGGCCTCCCAACATCCTTTGGAGATGACTAGGGTTGGGGAAAGGGATTAAGATTCAATTAAGATGTCCATACAGCAGATATTAAACATCTTGCCTATTTGTTGTTGACAGTGGAGGGGAAATAGGTATTTTGGGATACAATTCATTTGGTCAAACGGGTGTGTGTCCTTTTGGATAAGATGAACATTTCTCCCCACAGACCACAGCAATTGTCTTAGGTGACTACTACAGATGGAGATCTCTAGCCTGTAGATAAGATTTTCTGGTAAATCTCATTTTGGGGTTTTCCTCACTGATTTCAGCAGGTGTTTAATTTTGGGACATACTCAACAGGGCATCTGTTACCCACTTGAAGTGCCAGGAAAAGCAAAACCTGTGAAGAGTAGCACTGTTTGGGAATATGCAGCTACTAACTCATCTTCACTACTGCCATTCTCACAACATTGACTTACCCCTTCGCCTTGGCTGTAATCTACAGAATTAAATGAGGTGATTTCATGACAATTCAGTATCCTGCTGCAATTGGTTGCTATGACCAAACAGTTTTCCCACAGAGCTCCCATGTGCACAGAATTTTAAAAATGCCCCATGTTTCTCACACAGCTGGATGCACAAGGAAAATGTTGGTTCTAATTGTCATGACATCCTACCCTTTGGTTTCAACAAAATATTTCAGAAGCACTTCAAATTTGCCACCTTTGAAAAACAGCCCCCAAAGTCATTTGGGCAGATGTTTAGAAACAAAATTCTAATCCAGACTACAGATGTCAGATGGATCCCACCCTGTCAAAACCCGTTCTGTGGCACTCCGTTTATCATTGTCGTTTCCTCGTTAGAGGTCCCAGTTAGTGACTGCATGGCCACAGTTAGCTGACAGCCTCTGGAATAGGTACCATAGCAACGCAGGTGACTGGTAGCTGTGCAGTGTCAGGGCTACACCCCTGATGTGTGAACCACCGTATCTGCTGCTCTACGTATCGCAGCGAACAAAGAAGTAAATCCTTTCTACCTACAAATTTGCTTGGGCATATGTTTGGGGTTTGGAAGCTTCAGACTGCAAGGATACAGGACCAAGGCCTACTGCAAAGCTTGAACCTCTGTTAGGTGTCTACATGCTCCAAAGCTCAGGTCATCATGATTAAGCAATTTGTTCCAGTCTTCTGTAATCCTAATGCTCAATAAGCTTCTTTTGAAAGTCTTCTGACTGTTAGAGAAAACAAGCACTCAGTAACCTCTGAACCAGTAGGTAGTTCTGTAGCCTCTAATCAGTTGTGATTACAACTGATAAACTTGTTCATATTTTTATCTAGAAACACTGTGACAAACATCTGTATTTTATCATATTTTCTTATATAAAGCATGTCACAGGGATTTTGAGAAACCTAAAATATGAAAGACAGCTATTTAGCTATAAGGGAAAAGCTCAGTGTGAAAGGAGGATCTAAACACACCTGCCTTGGCCCATGCCTCCAGGCTGGCTGCCACACCAAGGTATTTCACTCCCTGTCAGGTTCAGGTTATGCGCCAAAAGAAGATCTACGGAGTTGAAATGAGAAGGACAGGACACAACACACACATTCCCAGCACTTCAGAACTGAAGTTTCTCTCCAGCTTCAGAAGATACAGAAAGGAACTAGAAATGGGACCAGCAGGTATGAAAGCAGGAGCTGCCAGATTAATGTGCAGGTAAGGGTGCAAAAGAGAGTCACTAAGGCATGAGGGCATCAAATCCCTTTTAGCCCCATTAGTAAATCCACATCAAGTTACATGAGGTGCTCAGTGTGAACAAAGCCACTTCCACATTCCGCACAACCCATTCCCTGCTGCTATCCAGACAGACCTCTGGGTCCTCCCAAAGCTGCCCAAAATTTTACTTGGGCTAAGTATCTGCAGAAAAGGGGAATTTCCCCTGGCACATGTTGGCGATCAAGGAGAAATGAGAGGCTGGGGAAAGCAGTGCATGGCTTTTTGTATGCTTTGGAGCTTTCTGGCTAACTTAAAAAGCAAAGGAATATCAGGCTCATGGCAGATTCCTTATCTTCATCTTCTGCAGGCCAATGGCAACACGAAGTCAGCACTGAAGCCAGAGGGGTTTAGCCCAGCTAAGGGTCTGTGCCATGGATCCCATTGCCCAGTAACAGCTCTGTGAATGCATCTGCTGAGATAACACCATAGGAGTTCCCAAATATGGGCTTCAGCCAGCCACTGCCAGTGAGATAACTCTGGAGGAGTGACTGACACAAAAATGCATCACCTTGTATGGAAAGCTCTGAGATTTAGACTGATCAGAGGTGCAGGAAAGTAGGAAATTCATTGACCAGGAGATGGCTGGCTGTAGAAGGCTCAGATTGTTGGTTGGAGTTCTTGTGAATGGACAGGAATTGCTTGTGAGGAACACGGAGAAATTAAATTTTTTAAGCGCTTTTAAGTGAAGGCTGAAATTGATATTACAGTACTTTTGGGAAGGACTCCTTAGATGTTTAATGCCAGTTATATTCTTTCCTGACAACAGCTAGCTAAGGCTGAGTCTGTAAATGAAAAATTAGACAAGGTCTGAGACTTCAAGTGTGATACATACATTATACACGTTCCTTTCTCGTAAATGCCTTGTCTTTATTTCATTATAATAATTTAAAGACTCCATATCTTCACATCCTGACAAATTTTGAGTATCTGCTGCCGCACAATGATTTTTCCAAAGAGAATTGAATGATAATCCTATACAATCACTAATTATACAGTAATTGTGCTCCAGGACATCTGTTTTTCTCCTCTTCTGATTTACAGTGTGTAGCTATGGAAACAGAGGGTGGATACCTCAGTACTTCACAAATGAGTAGGCAGGGGAATTTATTAATTTCCTCAGGATAGTTCTCTTTTGCTTAGTCAGTCATTAGGATCAATGTGACTACAAAAATGTCCTATTAAGAATGGTGAAATGACCTTTTTCAATTGCATTACAAAGCAAGTACTTCTGAAAAAAAGCTTGCTAAAAAAGTCATACATGTAATAATAGGCACACCTACTCAACCTCCTCAGCTGTTTATGTGTTGAAACTTCTACACCAAAGCCCTCATCTATCCACTATAAGAATGTCTTCATACGTACCACATTCACCCACTACAGAAGAATCAGTTTATCAAGGGAAGCTGTCAGCATGATTATAGACGTTCATGATGCTCACCACGACAGAAAGAAACGCAAATATGAGTCCCTACTCTACACAGAAGGCAACTAGGGATGCATAGGCACACTGTAAAAAAAAAAAAAATTATATATAATCTATGCATTTCCTGTGCCACAGGGTAAGGCTAATAAAAGGGATGTCACTGTAGGGTGGACAATGTCACCACAGGAGGCAGTGTACCCATACCCAGTAACCTCAGCTCCCTGCCCGCAATCAGTGTTTCAAGTTTAGTTTGCCTTGAGACTCCTCTGCCTGACAGTTGTGACACTTGGCTAGTCCCAACAGGGAAATATTCCTAAGGATGATTTGGGAATGTCTCCCTCCTCTGCCTTAAACACTGCTAACCCACAAAGAGATACTTCCTCTTACTTGCTCTTACTGTGTTACAGTTTGGAAAAGAAAGACAGTTTTCATAAGATTCTGTTAGGTTATGAGGTAGATCTATAGTGGTAGTCCCACTTCCTTTGTTTCATGCTTGCAGCACAGACCAGATGAAATCACCTTTTTCTTGATGAACCTCCCAGTACTGTGATGGAATTTTATTTTCATAGGATGTCAGTGATGCCAAAGATGAGCAGCATTACAGAAAATGCTGACTTTAGAAAAAATATGTAGGGTTATCAAAGACCTTGCTAACTGTTCTTGGGAGATTTGCCCAACATCCATGCCTGAATTAAAGCAACCTGGACTCTCCTCAAATAAAAGACAACAAAAAGCATCCAAATGCACCATGCAAAAAATTCTACAGATGTTGCTGATGGACATTTTTTGTTTCCTTTAAAATGTGAAAGAGACCATGCCAGGAAGAGGAAAGCAGGCCCAATGGATCTTTGATCTAAGCAGACTTCCAGATAAGGCACATCAATATGCAGCTTCTCTTGATGACCTGATTCTTGTTCTGTAATGGGTGAATACACCATGGACAAATACCTTCTTACAGCAGACTGGTGATAGGTATATGGAACTGAAGCTCCTACATGCTGCCATCTCCAATTATGTGCTAGCCTCAATGCAGCCCTGGGGACCTTACCAACATACTAAACAGTTCCATCACATCTGGTCCCTGCTCATATGGAGAACTTTGTCTTTGCACCTGAAGTGCTAGTATAAAATCTCTTCTGGGTTGTGTTCAGAAACTGAGAGTAAAATCCAGGTTTTTTTCCACATCAGTGGTAAAACTGGTATTGAATATTATGGAGAAAATTTTCACTTGAGGGTTTGGTTTTGAGTAAATGAGGTCCAACAAATAATGTTAACATGGCAGGCATGGCCCAGTCAAGGATATTTAAGATCTAATCTAAATTCATTAGATGTTTACTTGGTCAAGGAGTAAAGCACTAGTTTTCTCACTAATGAATCCATGGTAGGAGTCAGTGGCAGATGTACTGTTTCATTTGTCCAGCTCTGTCCTAAGCTTGCCTTGGTGGCTGGTTTATTAGAATTGTGCCCTCATAGCCCTCTCACGGATGTGAATTTAACCCTACCTATGTATAGGCTATGAGTCCTGTGTCTTTAGTATTTAGTCTCTTGTGTCCACAGTATTTAACTTGCAAATAGAAGACTTTCAAGATAAACCAAAGCAAAAGAAAACAAAAAGGAGAGTTCTCAGTATAAACAGTACAGCACAGGCACGACAGGACAGACAAAATACAGCAAATATTCACTTACCTGTAGTAGAGTTGACAAAAATAACAGTTACAGTTGCATTCTGAGGATTAGGGAGTGCTTCTATGTCAGCTAAACAAGTCAAAATCTCACTGTCCATCGGAGTCAAAGTTAGGATGCTCAGGGCATTGTGGAGGCCATTAGATCCTTGACTTTGCTGGGTAACATACCTCGACTTATCAATGAAAGAGTCATTTGTCATCCAGGTAATGTCTGGAGCTGGAGCCCATCCTAAGGCTTCACAAACAATTTCAACTGTTTTGTTCTCTTTTACTGTTAAGGTGCTATTTTTGATGAATAAAGATCCATTAACTGTAGGAGGGAAAAGATGTTTTGTTCCTTCAGAATAGTTGGC